TGCAATTGTAACGAAAAGATATGATGTAAAGAAGATTCAAGAGGAGATTGCAGACCAACTAGACCTCACTTTTAATCACAAATCCAAAACTGAAAGAGCCCGGCATTCCAAAACTTTTAGATCATGCCCAGTCCCCTGGCCCTTCTCTGTATTGCCATTGCAAGGTAGAATATTCAACCGTATCAGGCTCGGTATATGCAGTGATCACCTCTAAGATCACCTCTATAATCCATACAACAAATAGAGAATAATGGAAAAAAATCTGCTGAAGATATATTTATACAGTGATCAGTCATGCATTATTTAACAAAGAAGAAGAAATTACAGAGAGAAGGGAACAAATATTCAGAGGGAAAAAGAAGAGAGCCACAGAGAGAAGAGATATCCAATGTAAAAAAAACCAGATCGGACTGGCCGGTTCGACCAGAAAACCGGTGAACCGGTCTGCAGTCCGGTCTGGTTCACTAGCTGAACCGGTGGAGAACCGAACCGGTAAAAAACCGGTTGAACCGGTCATGATCGGTACAGAACCGGGTAAACCCGGTTGGGCAGGTTACCCGGTTCCCTTTTTTTTTGGTCTGATATAACCTAAACGACGCCGTTTTTATAAAAAAAAAAATCCTTCCTTCCTTTCTCGGTTTCTCCTCTGCCGCCGAGTTCCCATTTCCCCTAAATCTGATAGTCACTCATTTCTTCCTCTCATCAACTCCCCGAGTATCACATCGCAGCAGCTCGCCTCCGGCCTCCCTCCTTAAAACCAAATCGCCTCCTCCAAAATCCCTGCTCGGTAGAGTCACTGACGGCACGACGGTCTCCGAGACTCTGACACACCTCCTTGTTCGGCAGAGCTCCAAAATCGCAGAGTCATCACAAGTCGGATCTCCGGTCTCCCTCAACCATCTGAGCTCGCAACTCGCAAGACTCCTAAACTTGAAACGGTTAGAATGAGTTCCAATACTGCCTCCCCCGTTCCTCTTTATGCTCTAAACCCCTGAATTTCTGATCCTATTTCCTAATTCGTCTGTCTCTCCAAGCTTTTTGGCATACGCATCGAACTTTGCTGCTGCTCGTGAGTAGTGACATCGTCTCCTTGCCGCCGCTGTCATTCCCGGTTCCTCAAGGCTAATATTTTGATTTTTTGGTATTCTGGCCTTTTCTTGCATTTTCATTTTGGTTTGTAATTTATTATCGAATGAATTTTGCTATGTTACTGTGATTACTGATTATAGACTATATATAAATGAGATCCTGAATGAGTCTTGCTGTGATTATATCGTGAATTCGTGATAACGATGTTATTTATGGGTTTGCCGCCGCTGTCATTCGGTCATTCCCGGTTCCTCAAGGCTAATATGTTCTTTATATGGGTTTGCAATGTTGATGTTTATTCAGGCATGTGATGCTTACTAGCTTTAAATGTCATAGGGTCTCCAGGCAGCAGCTTCGTTGTTTTACTAGTTTTGTTATGAATTAGATTTTTATTCAGGCCTGTGATGCTTACTAGCTGTATACCTGTATCAAATATAACACTTTTGAGTTGATTTGGTTTGATTTTTATTCAGCCAAGTCTTATAAGAGTGAAAGATTTTGCAAAAGTGTCAAAAACTAATCACTAATAAGTTGAATTATGTTTTCCTGAATGTCAATGTCATTGCATATATGCCATCTTAGTGCATCTGTTTCTGGATTAAATTGATTTTATATGGATTTTGTTTTCTTTTCAAGAGGTAGCAGTGATGGATATTTCAAATAATCAAAGTTTGATAATGTCACTCCTAATACTCAATCTTCCACTCCCAATACTGAAACTTCCAATCCTCCTACACCACTTTCTTCATTGCGTGCAAAAACTGATCCTGCATGGGCACATGTTGCTTATAAGAAAGAAGGGACACAAAATGTATACACCTGCCTTTTTTGTGGTAATAGTTATAGAGGTGGTGGGATAAATAGGATGAAGCAACACCTTGCTGGTATCACTGGTCAATATCTTGTAAAAAAGTTTCGCATGATATACGTCATAGAATGACAGAATCTTTGAAAGAGTGTTCAAAGAAAAAAGCCATTGAAAATATAGAAGAGGAAATTGAAGATACTCATGTTGATTCACCAATTATCATGAGTAGTGCAAAAAAGAGAAAATCTATAGGGAGTATGGATAATTATTTTGCTCCTCGCACAACCCCTGATTCTCAACCGGGTATTAAAAGTGCATTAGCAACCAAAGAAGCGAAACACAATGTAAAAATGTTGATTGCTGAGTGGGCCATTGTGAATTGCATTCCATTTAAAGCATTTGATTGCCCGTTATTTCAAAAAGCTGTAGATGGTATTGCTTCAATTGGGCCTGGGTTTAAAGCCCCTAGTGCTTATGATTTCAAAACCAATTTGCTAAGTGATTGGAGAAAAGAATGTCAGTTACTAATTGATAGCCATCGAGCTAAATGGAAAAACAATGGCTGCACACTCATGGCTGATGGATGGACCAATGTGAGGCAACGTACTTTGATAAATTTCTTAGTGTATTCTACACACGGAATGGTGTTTGTGAAGTCTGTTGATGCTTCAGATTTAGTCAAAGATGCCAAAACTCTATTTACTCTATTCTGTGAAATCATTGAGTGGATTGGTCCTAAGAATATTGTCCATGTAGTAACTGACAATGCAGCTAACTATGTAGCATGTGGCAGGTTGATTAAAGAAAAGTATAAAAATATTTATTGGTCACCTTGTGCTGCTCATTGTCTGAATCTTATATTAAAAGACTTTTCCAGCATGCCAAATGTGTCAGACCTCGCATCAAAGGCATCCAAGGTAACTATCTTTGCATATAATCATATGGTTTTCTTATCATGGTTGAGGAGGAGACCGAGTTGGAAAGAAATAGTACGTCCTGGTGCCACAAGATTTGCTACGACATTTATTACATTGCACAGCATATATATGCATAAAAATGACTTGCAGGCTCTGGTTGTTGATAAGCATTTTGTGGACCATAGATTATCAAAGACTGAGGCAGGGAAAAATTTTAGTGCAATCATTTTAGATAACCGGTTTTGGAATGACTGTTATCAAGTTGTGAAAATTGTATCTCCTCTCATCAAATTATTGAGAATTGTGACTCAGATGAGAAGCCTTCATTGCCTTACGTTTATGAAGGGATGAGAAGGGCAAAAATAGCAATTAAGGAGATGTTTAAGAAGAACAAGGAATTGTATAAGCCTTACACAAGAATCATTCAAACTCGATGGGATAGACATCTGAAGACCAATCTTCATGCGGCATCGTATTTGTTGAATCCTGCAATTACATATGGTCCAGATTGTCCTAGCAAGTCAAAGTTAATGATGGCTTTGATTGATGTGGTTGAGTCTTACTTAGATGAAGATATTGATGGCTTCCTAGTGATGAAACAAGCGACTACTTATCGCGAAGGCAAGGAATCTTTTAGCAGGCTCATGTCAAAAAGCTGCTCAAAAACTAGACCCCTGTAAGTATTATTATTATTTATTATGTTCATGATTATTCACTAATTCTATATAGTATTGGATACTAAATATATTTTATTATGTAGATGAATGGTGGACATATTATGGTTGTTTAGTTCCAGAATTGCAGCGTGTTGCAATGCGCATTCTTAGTCAAACTTCTGCTTCTTCTGGTTGTGAGAGGAATTGGAGCTTATTTGAAAGAATTCATACGAAAAGAAGAAACAGATTGGGACATAAAAGATTGAATGATTTGGTTTTCACCAATTATAATCTGCGATTGAAGCATAGGTAATCTTGGAAACAGTGAATAACTTTAGTTTTTTTTTAATTGATTTATATTTATCTAATTTTTGTTTGTCATTAAAGGAGTACATTGAAGAAGAGCAAAAGTTATGATCCAATTGACTATGAAAACATTGATATGGTGGATTTTTGGGTGGCTGAAGAAGATCCCACTCCGGAGTTTGATGATAGAGATGTGGATACATTGGAAAGCGTCCTTAACAATGACGGCACTGCTAATTCAACAACTCTTGAGAGTGCTAATGAAGGTTTATATATTTAATCAAGACTCTATTCTTATACCAATATATAGTTATTTGTATAATCTTTAATGTTGGTCACTGTCTTGTATAGGTGATGAAGATATGAACATTGCTGACCCTCCACCTTTACAAGATGATGTTGTTGCTCCTGCTTTTCCTTGTCCAGCTGTTGACATCTCAGCCCATGCAAATGATCTTAGTGATGATTTTGATTTTCCCTAGTTAAGATATACATTTCATTAATGTTTGCTTGGTACTATTAAATATTTAAACTACTACTTTTGTAGCTTCTCATCTTTTTTTAGTGATTATTATTTATGAATTTTGTTTTATTTTAATATTATGAATTAATTATATTATTTTAATATGACCGGTCCGACCTCGGTTCAACCTCGGTTCGACCAGTAACCCTTGACCCACTATCTCGACCGGTTTGATACCCGGTCCGATTTTTTGTTCCTTGGAGATATCACAAAATTCATCATGCTTTTCCCTAATCCTTCCTCTGCCCATATATATTTCCCAAAGTGAACGTCCCAATAATGCTCGTTTTCATATTCAAGCCCTTATTAGCTGGGTTCATTTACAGTATACGTGTTTGGTTATTAGTCAATTGGTTCTAGTTTTTCGTTGTGATGAGACTGAATATTCACTACATAGGTTTAACGAGTCCAAAACTACGACCCGATGGAGGGTGGACTTTTCATTCATCTCCGGACTTTTCATTCAAGTGGCGAGTCAATCTAGTCACAACTCACAAATAGAAGAGAAGGACTGATCAATAAAAAATAATCAACTAAATAATCCTAATTGAACGAGTAACTTTTATAATGAAGCACCGACTGGCAGTTGAAAGAGTTTGATGAGAGAAGAATATAAATGCATTAAGGACAATAGCGCTAGATAGTTATTTCCTCACAGCACCCATAAGAAAGAAGGTTTACCATATATGGAAAAGAGAACCTCAATGAGATGAGCTTTGCTTAAATTGCTGCACCACTTTTAAGATAGAACTGACTGCTTGTATTAAAGAGAGAAGAAGGAGCAGAGTTCCAGCAATAGAAGCAACAGTTTGCCAACGAGTGTTGCAGTAATCATGTCTCAAAGTGGCCTTAATGTTATTCCAAGGATTTTTACTAAAGGCATTCAGGTCCTTGCAAACAATTGAGTAATGGGAGTTGAAATCTACATGTGTGACATTCTTCCGAAGACTATTGAATAAGTTGGCCAAAGAATTAGATTCTCCTAACCAGTTAATGATGACTCCCTCCCGAATTAAGAGATCCACATCACTGCTTGTGTTGATAAGGAAGTCCATAATGGCAACATAGTCAGTGATGTAAGAATAAGAAGGATAGTGACACTGCTCGAATGCCACCAGATTCCTGAGCAAAGTTTCAGTCCAATCATCAACTTTCAATTCTGGTGTTTCAAGAGTTCGTCCTGAGAAATTGAAGTCTAGTAAGCATGGGCTTGTACTTTTCCTAAATGTCACCCCTGCTTCAGCTAACTCAGCTGCACTCTGAATATATGTTACTGAGTTGCGCAATCTCTTTGGTTGAGTACACAATGGTGGCAAGTGAAATGTTCTAATAAGATCTGTGAAGTGGCTAATAGTAACACCTTGAGGGTCTAATTGCATGTTGTCGTAATAAGCAAAATAGTCAAAAGCGAGACGAAGAAATGAAGGATTTCTATGGATGTTAGTCATGCTAGGGAGAAAAATTCGGCTACATAGCCTTTCAAGATCAGCAAAAGGCAGCTGATTCTCAAGCAAGAGCAAATCTATTCTTACGGTTGTGGCTTGCCAGGGTTTTAACATTATAACACCATCCCATTCACTATAATATGACCTCAAAAATAGCTCAAATAAGAAACAAGAATCCAATAGAATCACCTTCACAAGTTCCTGATTGCTAAGCTGAAAAGGCTCTGAGTAATGAAGACGAACGCTATGCTCAATCTCTTCTACGAAGTTGATTAACCTATCCAAACTTATGGCACTTCACATTCTTTGGCAAAATTGCTTGAGACACACAAGCTCGTACTTTTCCATGTTTTGTAGTCTGAGATGCCCATGGTGAAAGGGGCCAATAGAAATCATCTTTGGGATAAAGCTATCTTCATTCAGCCTGCGTATATCATTCAGCAACCTGTAGATGCAGCAGCACTCAGAAGTCATGGCTGTTTCAGCTTGTTGCAGCATCGAGGTCATTTCAATCACAAAATCGTTGTGATTACTGATTGCCATATAAAGGGAAAAAGAGCATCGCGGGAGAAATTTAACGAACGTAATGAAAGAAAGAGGACTGTGGTCGTAGTTCCCAGATCACATAGGTGAAGAAAAGAGGAAAAAGGAGCTGATATATATCCTTGAGCGATGGGAGTGCTATTTTTTCAAACATGGCCGACCACAAAGAAACTTCACAGGTTGCTTTTTTCAGCATAATGAAGCAGCTTGACGGTTTCTTGAGATATTCCTCCCTTTGGGAAGAGGATACTCTCGGCGCCCAAGTTATCCCCATTGAGATTAATCCAAAAGCTCACACTATACCATATTATTGTGTTATTAAAATTAAAAATAAATTTTAATTACAGTGTAAAATTTTGGGAAAATACTTGGACTTGGAAATAGCAAAATAATCACTTGAATTTGCAAAATCCCAATTTAATCACAAGTGACTAATTTGACATTTATAAATAAACTGAAATGATCATATTGCCTTTTATTTTATTTATTGTTTTTTTAAAAAATTAAAGCCCCCATTAGCCGGCCGGTTGCCGGAGCTCCAATACTACCGGCCTCTAGCGACTGGCTGACAATTGGTCTTCAGAGCTTCAGTGGCCGGAAACAATTTTTTAAAAATTTTTACAACTTCAATATAACAATTAATAATTTTTGTAATGCTATTAACAACTTCAGTATAGCAGTTAACAACAGTTTTTCTGAAAAATTCTAAAAGTAGCATTTTTATAACTTCAGTAATGCCATTAATAAGTTCCATAATTCTATTAACAACTTCAATATAGCATTTAATAATAAGCTTTCTTAAAAATTTAAAAAAATAGTACTTTTACAACTTTAGCAACTACTTTTTTTTGAAAATTTTTATAACTTAAATATAAGGGTCAACAATTTTTGTAATGCTATTAACAACTTCAGTATTGCGTTTAACAACAAGTTTTAAGAAAAATTCAAAAAATAGCGTTACAAAATTCGTTAACTGTTTTACTGAAATTGTAAAGATTTTTTTTAAAAAAAGGTAGTTGCTGAAGTTGTAAAAATGTCATTTTTTTGAATTTTTAAGAAAATCTATTATTAAACATTATATCGAAGTTGTTAATAGAGTTATAGAACTTGTTAGCGGCATCACTGATTGTAAAAATGCTACTTTTTGAATTTTTCGAAAAACTTGTTGTTAACTACTATGTTGAAGTTGTTAATAGTGTTACATAAGTTTTTAACCATTATACTAATGTTGCAAATTTTTTTTTTTTAAAAAAGTAGTTGCAAAGTTGTAAAAATGCCATTTTTTTATTTTTTAAGAAAATCTGTTATTAAATACTATATCGAAATTGTTGATAGAGTTAAGGAACTTGTTAATGGCATTATTGGAATTGTAAAAATGCTATTTTTTTAATTTTCTAGAAAATATGTTGTCAACTACTATACCGAAGTTTAAATTTTCAAAAAAAAATTGGTTCCGACCATCTAAGCTTCGGACACCAATTGTTGGTAGGTCATCAGAGCTCTGGCGACGGCTGCCACCACTAGCACCAGAGCTTCGGCAACCAGTCATCTAGTGGGCTTTGGTTTTTTAAAAAACAATAAACAAAATAAAAAGCAACATGGTCATTTTAACAAATTTATAAATGTCAAATTGGTTACTTGTGGCTATATAGGGATTTTGCAAATTCAAGTGACTATTTTGGCATTTCTAAATTCAAGTATCATTTTTGTCATTGTCCCTAAAATTTTTTACCAGCTTTAAACTATTTTAAAAGATTTTTTTTTAGTATGAAATATTCAGTTTTTTGCACCTGTCTTATTTTATAAGAAGTCCAAACTTATTTAGATGATCATAAAGAACGAATAAAATTGACCACCAAATACTTATATACAGTTTTACCCATCTAACTTCAGCTGAAAGACTTATCTTAGTTTAGTAGGTGTTTGGGTAAAAATAAAATCATACTTTTACTGTATACAAAGTAAATATATGGAAGAGTTTACCCCAATTTATGAAAAAGTGCTTTTGAAAAGTGTTTTTGAGGTTACCCAAGCATCCAAAGTTTGATATAAATTTAGTTAGACAGGATCAAAGTTAAAGAACCGATTTATAATAATAATAATAATACCCATACCCTCTAATTTTTTTCCTCTTGCTCTCACTTTTTCCATCATGGAACGCGGCGTACTTTTCCATATAAAAGACCTTTTACACTAAAAATTCCCAATTTTTAAAGTCCAATGTCAAAACCAGGACTCAAACATGCACCCCGATTAGATTTTTTCTCTTTTTGGACTCAGTAGCCCGATTCGATTGAGCTATATACTTAGTTCTGTTAGTCTCTCCAAACAGAAATTAATGACTCCGTGCCACCACTGATTTGTGGAATAAGTTTTTGTTGCCATAACTGCACATAAAAATAATCTAATCAATGGTGATTGGGTGGTAATTATTAATTCTCATACATGACTTGGTTATATTATAAACTAACTTTCTAAATAATCAAATATGATTTGATGGCCTATATGCCATAGCCAAATTACTTTCTCTTGTCAAGATATACTGTTTCTAATATTGAGTGTAATTGTCCTAGTGGAAAAAATAATGTTAATGGCGGTAATTAGGAAACAAATTTGGGGTGAAATGAATTTTACAAAAACTAAAGAGAGAAAGCAAACTCTTCCAAGTCAATTTCCTAGTCAAATCATCATCTCTCATCTCACCTAATAACTTCTGCAAAGTCTTCAACATTACTTCTCACATTAAAATATATTCACGAAGCAGCATTCCAATTTCGAGGATCTCTCTCCGCCACGGCCCCATCTCTATCCTCTCTCGCGTAGGATACTGAATGGTATAAAAAGAAGTTAATTTCTTGAAGACCCCAAGCATCAGCCCATTCCGTCTTCCCCAGCTGACCCTCCAGAGAAAGATACTCCTCTTTTGCCGGATTTTTATTTTCTGCTCCTAATGAATTGCTTGTGGTGGTGAATTCTCACATCACTGCAGGATAAAATGAAGGCTATGGTAGTAATTATTGCTTGAATTATTATCCTTCTTCGTCATTATCGCACTTCAAGCAAATCCCAGACACATAAGCCTCAACCGCAAGACAAGAACCAGAACAAAGCTTATTGCACAGTGCAAGAAGAAATGATGTCCAAACTGATGGTCGAGTCCCTTCCAATGCCTTTGATACTTTAGAATTGAGACAGCCAGTCCTGGGAAATCTTATGGAGGCATTAGCAGATCCAAATACTCACTTAGTCGGAGTTTATGGCTCAGATGATGAGATCAAAGACACTTTGCTTCAAAGAGTCTACAGAAGAGTTCAAAGAGATCAACTGTTTGGCGTAGTTGTGACAGCAAAGGTAACCAAATATCCTGATGTGAAAAAGATTCAAGAGGATATTGCATGTCAATTGGCGTTTACTTTTAATCACATGTCCAAGGAAAAAAGATCCAAAGAATTAATTCGTAGGATCAAGAACGAGCATAATATTCTCATTGTACTTTGCGACCTGCAGAAGGCACTTGACCTCAATAACATAGGAATTCCATATGGTGCAAATCACACTGGCTGTAAGATATTACTCACTTCTACAGCTGAAGATGTGCTATCCCACCACATGCATACCCAGACAAATTTCATGGTTTAAAAATTCTCGTCCTAGATAAAAGCTTTAGCTTTTTATGGAGAGTTTCTTAGATGCGTGTTTTGTAAGGGTTTATTTATGGGTGTTTCCTTTTTTTCCTCCATATGATTATGTATATTTAGTACGTTTAGTTTTTGTTGCAAGAATTGGAAAGCTGTGTTTTGATGGAAGTTTCTTAGTGATGTCCTGTTTGCCTATCTGGTACAATAAAAGAAGTTCTCTATGAAAATGAGGAAAGTGAATGGGAATTCAAATTGAAAAAAGAAAATGAACTCTTGGTAAAAGTAATTGTATGCTTGATATGGAGGGAAAAAATTAAAAAAAAAAAAGATATTTGAACATAAAAATCGAAAAGAAAAAAAGTAAATGACATGATTATGTTTTATTAGTGGGTAATCATGACAGTGTCTTGGAAGTTGTATTTGGAGCAAGCACATGCAAGGTCATTGTCATAGTTATAGGGATACGAATGCAACGTGGTAGCCAATTCCTGATTCTAAGCCCAAACCTTAAAAAATGGGGCCTAAACGAGGAAATTGCCAGTACCAGCCCTAGTAATCCTTCCAAATTGAAATAAGAGAGTCAATCGCCACTTATTTGCCCACTAATTTTTTCTTGCTATAATTGAAGGTTAAAACAATTCAATCAGTGATGGTTGGATGGTCTAGTGATGAATTCATGTCCCCCAAACAAACTTGATGATTTAAACCTTATGAAAAAAAAAGATTATAGTACACAATTATTTTTTGTTTTAGCTTAATTAACAATATTCAAATATACATTAATCAGTAACCCATTTCAACCGGCCTCAACCAATAATAGGAGGACACGATAACCTTCGATGGATGACATAGACATAGCACTAGCCACTAGTTATGCTATAACCAACTTACTTTTCTCGTGCAAGTATATTGTCATAAAAAATAATGTTAATGAGGGCATGAGAAAATTTTTTTGGGTGAAATGAATTTTACAATAAGCGAAGATTGAAATCAAAGTCAATTCCCCAGTCAAAACATGATCTCACATCTCATTTACAATAAAGCACTTTCTGCGACACACGTTTTCAACTTTACTATTCATATTAAAATATAACGATGAAGCTGCATTCCAATTTCTGGGATGTTTGTCTCCTTCATACTCCTATCTAAGCTCTGTTACTTCGTCCTCAATTATTGGCATTGGATTCCCAGAAAAAAGAAGCTAATTTCATGAAGACCCAAATAGCAATCATTTTAGTCCTCTCATAGATACTTTTGTCACTATGCATTTCTATTTTGTGCTTTGAATTTATTTTTTTAAAATAATTATTTTAATGACATAGAATAAAAATAAAGATAATTTCTTAACTATCATTTTTAAAATAATTTTTATTTTAAAATAATTAATTTAAAATATTAAATATGGACTGTTTAGATTAGATCTGAACTATGTAGATTACGTGTCCAGTGATGAGCGCCAAAACCAGTTTCCTTCATGGCTTATCCGTAGTCCCAACATTTGCTGTCTCGTGAACGACGTTACTGTCATCACTTAAAAGAAAATTTTTTAAAATGGTCTCATTTATCCTAACCCCAGAGGCACTTCGAAAAAGGATACAACTTCATAGCTCCAATCTCTTTCTAATTATTATTTATTTAGTTGAAAGATTGCAAAAAAATTGTTCCAATATTTTACTACTGTTAATGTGCTTTCTTTTTAATTGTGATATTTAATTCAATTTTAATCTATGATATATTTTGACATGAAAATAAGGATACTTTTTAGTTATCGAAGTATTTATTCATCTTCTTTTTTCCCCCTCATCTATTCAAATAATATGAGTGATAATATTTTCTATTTATTTTTTGAATTTTTCTTTTCATTCAAACAGAGTATAATTTTTTTAAAATTAATCTATGGTTAAACATTATCTAACATGTACTTTTGCAGCTCGATGGTAATGCAAAGGAATATAATGGTTGAGAATGTAAAGGAGTGTAACCATAATTATAATGAATTTGTTTGGTAGAACACTAAGAATAATAAAATTAAATTTATTATTTATATCTAATTAAATACAAATAAAATCAAAAGGACGAAAATGCTTTTACAGCATTCTTCACCTTCCTCCTTCCTCGTCTGTCGCAAGTCGCAACCATCCCCCCATTATTATTGCCCATCATTCTGTTGTAAATATTGTGTGTGGGTGTGTCAAAGGAAGAATCCCACATCGCTTGGGATTTTAGGAGTCCAAATAATAAGAGCTCTTGGACTGCTAAATGGGCCAAGAGGAGGAGTGGACTCAAACGCACAATGGATTATCGGAGACAAATCCAGCAATTTCCCTTCACCCCCTATACATGAGTCAAATGCGGTACTGGGCACTCTTTATGAAAAATATCTGTCTAATTAATCCTTTTTCTTAATCATCATTATACCTGTTCAATATTTGTAACTGACGTCTTTAATAATTTTAAATCCTTATTAAATGAGTTAATGATTTTGAAACCAAAACTTAATTGTGTTTAAATGTCCAATGCTCTTTTGTTATCTGCAGCCTATAAATGGGGCATGAGACTGAAGTTCACAATCACCGGAGCGCTGGACTTTCGGGCAACTCTCTTCCCTCCTTTGGTGTTACATATGATTGAGTTCTTTTATCTTTCGCTAATCTACTCACCCTGTTCTTATAGGAAGAATCCGTTTAATCCTGGGGAGTGCCGCTTCTTGCTTTGCCGGTAGTTGCAGAATAACTCTTAAGGACAGTGTCCATAAGACATGACTCAAATTTATCATTTCTCTGCAGGTATTACCATCAATAGGATTCGTAAAGCATTATAAAGGAGCCAGAAGATCTGCTGGATTTTGGAGAATTTTAGGAGCTGCCGCTAACACGTTCCTCCTTCCTCATCCACCTTGCTTTCGTCCTCATCTTCAACCAAGAGCCCACCAAACATCTAGATGAAAGGTTTCTTCTTGGGCAAAGATCCATCTCTGACGGTGCCCACATAACTTTATCCCCGACATCGCCATTTGAGATATAGAGCTCAATGAGACAAACACTGTCATCGGGCAGTTTCTTGAAATCTAGTGAACTATTTTGCTTGGGGAACAAATCCTTCAAGTGATAATTCCATGAGTTTAGAATCAACATTGATAAGTTACGGAGTAGCAGCATTGTCCTCTCCAATAGAGGAGGAAGGAACAACGGAAATGCCCAGTCCATCAAATGAAGGAAGGAACAGGAAGGGTCAAACAGTGGAGGGGCGTTACCAGCATATAGGAAGGTCGCTCAAGAGGGAGTGTCGACAATGGTGAGGCTGGAGAAAGATGATCGACAAGGACAAATAGTGTCTCTTTTTCAGATTTCTATACGTTGCAATCCCCATTCTTTACTTTTAGGAATGTAATCCCTATTACCTCATATGATGTAATCCTAATGCATATGGTAATTCCCTTTACAACCTAAATGTGCTAACCCATTATTTGAAAGGGGGTTTGTATCAGGATTACATGGAATCCTTATGCAATGCATCCAACCAAACAGGCAATACAGCATTAATAATGTTATGGTCTGCACTAGCAATGCTGAGGAGGAATGTTAGGCGATGCTAATACTCACTTAATCGGAGTTTATGGCTTAGATGATGAGATCAAAGACACTTTTATTCAAAGAGTTAAAAGAAGAATTCAAAGATTATTAGCAGGATGAGATCAAAGTGGGGATAGACAAAACTGTCTCCCAGTAGGGTGGAATGCGAGATGGGAGCATTCCATCCTGATATGTTATCCTTTCTAACTTTATAAATTTAAATTATCTATTTTTATAATAATATTAAATAATATTATATAGTGCCCAATTTTTTTATTCTAAATGCATAGCATATAGTAGTCATAGTCACAGTAATAATAAAACCCATGCCCTATGATTTTGTTTTCAACTTGCTCTCACTTTTTTTTTTTTTTAATGTGGAACACCGCAAACTTTTCCATATAAAAGACGTTTTATACTAAGTATGAGAAGACGGGATCGGTGATTGTAATGGTAGCAGACTATTAATGAAATACAGGAATTCTAACTAAAAACGAAGAACAAAATGGGATTGGAATTGGAATTGCAAGTGACCCATATCACTAGAAAAGCAAAACAAGGACTTCACCTAAGTCAAGGGTAGTGTGTTTGGATGGCTTTTTTTAAGTGATACTAATGTTAAGCAAGGCAAATTTATATCATATTCTCAACTGTTAGCCTAAACATCACCGTTTTAGGGTGCCTCCCTAGTACCTTGATGGGAGATCAAACCCCCTCTCCTTTGGAAGAGGACGTGGTTCTTGCCACTAAGCCCAGCCACGTACAATGGTTTCTTAGCAACATAGCCTACTCTTTTTAATGTTCTAAGGCCGAGGCCTTTCTCCTTGTACCAAAAAGAGATTTCGTAATTTTGAAAGCCCAACCCTTAAAAAGTAAACTAAGACTCGAATAGGTAGCCCTCTTAGCTTGAGCAATGTAGTGCACAATCCGGATTGTATTCACTTTGAGGAGTTGAAAGCAAAATTAAATCCTAGTAAATAAATGCAAACAACTTAAACTATAAAAAAGATTTTTGATTTGATAATTTCTAATTAAACACCATGAATTAAATTGAAATTAAAATACTTTTTTTTGTTTTTATATAAAAATGATTAAAATGAATGAAGATTAAAGAAATGAAAATTAAACACACAAATAACAATGATAATAATCAATCCTCCAATTCAACAACGTAGGCAATCATCACTCCAAAAGATGTGGGAGTTAAAACAATGAATTAAGAATTATAATTAAGCTTTTAATCCAACAACCAAGCCACCTCGAACTATCACAAAATATTTTTCCAAAATCCAAATTTACTAATTGCAACCAGAATAGTAAAATAGAATTAAGGATGCTAAAAATCAATGCTTAATTAAAATTCTTAGATCCAAAACAATAGAATTAAAGCTAGCAAGAGACAACATGATCCAAGATTTCAAGCTACCTTAGAAAATCACAATATATTAACTCCAAAATCAATGCAAATGTCATAACCATAACATTATAATTGAAATTAAAGCTATAAACAACCCAATATCAAATGCTAAACAATAAGCTCCAAATATAATCAAATTAAACAATACATATTTTCCAATAATCAACATAACTATCCTAAGACCTAGGGATTGTTAAACAATTATTGAACAGGAAATTAAAATAACTAAAACTCCCCTTTGATGATTCGAGCTCCTACCATTGTTGTTGAATTAGAGAATTATGAAGTTAGCCACGGATTGCCATGAGAATTACTGTAATCAAAGCTTTGCTACAAGGTTCCATGGAGAACACGGTGAAGATATCTTCAGTGACGAAACAGTGCAAGAGTTGATGGAGGATGACGCCGTCGAGTTTTTGTTTGCTGTTTCTGTTCATCTGTATTATTGTTCATTCTACTGGTTTGTTGTGCCTATCACAATCTCTCTACCACCAGGAGATTCAGCGAAGAAGAAGATGACTTGAATAGTGCCTTCACTTTGCTTCACTCCTCACGTCGTCTCCTCTAGCTCACTCTATTTGCTATTTTTCTCTTTGGTTTGCCGCTCCTGTTTCTCTTTGCGTTGCTTCCTGTTTGGCGCTCTTTTTTTTCGCCACCAGCCTCATTCTGCTTCTTTTGTCCAACTCGTGTGTGTGTGTTGAAATCTTTAATGTTGAAATGCACATAATGATCTCCCACTGACATAGTAATAGTCCCTCTTGGCAAGTTAATATTAGTATTTGCAGTCATCAAGAAGGGCCTACCTAGTATCAAAGAACCATTACCCCTAGACTCACTAGCTATATTCAACACATAAAAATCAGTTGGAAAGACTAGGTCTTTCACTTTTACTAAGATGTCCTCAAGTATTCCGTGTGGATACCTAATGGTCTGATCAGCAAGTTGGAGTACTATGTTTGTTGGTTTAAGAATATTAACCCCTAAGGACTCATAAGCTGACTTAGGCATCACATTGATAGCAGCTCCTAAGTCTAATAATGCATGGGGAATAGTACTCTTACCAATGGTATAGGGCATGGTAAAGGAACCAGGATCCTGACACTTGACTGGGAGAGGGGATTTAAACATAGCAGACACATTCAATCCCAACTGAACCTTATCATGTGGCTTAAATTTTCTTTTATTAGTGCACAAATCTTTCAAAAATTTAGCATATTAAGGCACTTTCTTAATCAATTGAAGCAGAGGAATATTAACCTCTAACTTGCTAAACATCTCAATCAATTCATTCTCATGTTGTTCATTATGCATTTTCTTTTGTGAATTGAGAAAAGATTGAGGGAAAGGAATATCACTGACTTTTACCTCTTTACCTTTATGTAGGATGGTTCCTTGTTGGCTTGATTCATCATGCTCCAATGTTGTGCACTTGTTGTCTAGAACCACTTCAGTATGGTTCTTTTCTTCTTCTTGCCCTTCAGTAGGCTCTTTCATGTTAACTAGCAATGCTCTTTCCTTAGAGCTCTCAGATTTCTTGCTCGGTGTAGTAGAATGTGGAGCAGGCTCAGTTTCCATTTCTTCTTCCACATCCTCTTCATCTTCTTTAGTGAAGTGTACTGTCCTTTCGCTTCTCAGAGTGATGGCATTAAGTGCTTTAGGATTGATAACTGTATTAGAGGGTATGCCTCCACCTCTGGCTTGCAGATCACTCATAGTATTGGCCACTTGAGTTAGATGAGATGTCACAGTATTATTCTTCAACTCTAACTCTTCCAACTTCTTACAAATGGTTGCATTATCACCTTGCCTCCTTTGTAAAATTGTGGCAATAGATGAAAATTGGCTATCATTCAAGGCTTTATCTTCTTTCAACTGGTTATCCATATTGCTAAGTTGGGTAGCCATACTCTTTAACAGTTGGTTGGTCTCATCACTCTTTGGTTGAGAAAGTGAATTGTTCTGGAGTGGAATGACCATCCTTGAAGGTTCTTGAAAATGGCTTGAAGAAGCACCAAGTCCACTAGTTCCCTCTTGAAATTGTTTCAGCCCTCTGTTATCATTATCCCTCCAACTAAAGTTAGGATTCTGTCTCCACCTGTCGTTATACGTGTTTGAATAGGGATTCCACTTCTGGTTCATAGGTCGTCCCTGAAACATAGTAGAAACTTTTTTATATCTTGAAGGACATATATTGCTTATGTGCATGGGAGAACCACAATAATCACAACTGGGAGCTACTAATGCTTGGGAAGTTCCCATTACATTACATTGTCTAGGAACCCTTTCACACTCTAGTTTCTCCAATCTCCTATCAATCTTCTCCATAAACTGCTTAAGTGTATCATTAGAAGAGGATGAAGTAACTTCTCTAACACACTGTCTATCTCTAGTGCCATATTGTTGGTCATTTGTGGCAGTCTTCTCAAAGAGGTCCCAGGCACCTTGCAGAGTAAGATCAAGAATTGAACCATTAGCAGCGGCATTAATAGTCCTCTGATAGTATGGCAAAAGACCCTCATAGAAATACTGAACCAATTGTGACTTAGGCAATTGATGATTTGGACACCGAGACATCATGGTTAAGAACCTAGTCCAATATTCATAGAATGACTCCCCTTCATCTTATTGTGCTCCGAAAATAGCTTTCTTAGGCTTGGAGGACTAAGATGCAGGAAAGAATTTCTCAAGAAGAGCGTTCTTGAGTTGCTCCCAGGTAAGTGTAGCATAGTGCTGGGGCAAAGTTCTTAGCCATTCCTTGGCTTTTCCTTCCATGGTAAAGTGAAACATTCTTCTCAAAAGTTCCTCTACATTTGCACCCTGTGGCTTCATAGTGGAGCATACCATCATCATAGTTTCAATGTGTCCATAGGGATCATCACCTGAAAGACCAAAAACTTTAGGCAAAGTATTAATCAAGTTACCTTTGATTTCAAAATTAGCATCAAAATTGTAAAAACCATGAGGATCAAAATTCACAGTAGAGTTATTTATTTCTCTAAGACTCCTCTGGTCTTCACCATTATTCCTAGGCACATGATTTTCCCTATGACTATTATTATCTCCATTACCCCCATTTCTTTTTCTATCATTTTCACCATTATTACCACCATTACCAGTACGATTTGCCATGTCTAGATTTTGGTTAGGTGCACTAGGAGTATGGCGTTCTAAGGCAAATTCACTTGTACTGTTTTGACCTTTTTTCTTTTTCTTCTTTAATTGCTTCAAAGTTATCTCAAGCTTAGGATCATAGGGTAAGGGTTCTTTATCTCTGGGCATGCAATAGAGAAATTAAAGCAACAAAATGCAAAAACAAATGAAGATTCAAGTACAAATGGAGGGATGCAAAATGTAATGCAAGGTATGCCAAAATAAATAAATAAATAAAAAGAATTAAAATAAAATCAAGCTTTTTTTTTGAAATTTTTATTTTAAAAAAATTAATGATATGCAAATGCAACCTAAACTAAGCAAAAAAAATTTAAAGAAAATAGAAAGAGAAAAAAAAACTGACACTTAGTTTACTAAGGAACCAATTACTTGGCTCCCCGACAATGGCGCCACTTTATTTGAACCTTTTTAGTCGCCTTGGATTAAATCAAATATAAAACCAAATTATGCAATAAAGCACAACTCGAGTCGTGTCTCTTAAGGAGCTTTTTATTATTCCTAAATTAACTAAGTGACAAAGAATTGAAAGGAGGGGTTGAAAAAGGATTTTTTCAATTAATAAAACTAATTATGAAAGTAAGAAATAAATCCAAACTACTTTTTTTTGGTATTTTTAAGAAAGAATAAAAAATGCAAATTTGAATTGTAAGAAATCAATAACGAGAATGCTCTTGAGGAATGAATCAATGACTATCCTAGCTTGTTTAATGATATGGGAGTAACTTAAGTGGTTAAGACTGGTTTATATAAGTTATTCCTTTTAAATTAATACTCAACTAGAACATTAATTACTTGTTAAATTCACTTCAAGCATCATTTCTATAAACTCGCATAAAAATCACACTAACAATGAATTAACAAAGGCATAAACATAAATATATGTATAAACCAAGTACTCAAACTTATAAATACCAATCCAAATATCAGCAATTCCAATCCAAACCAAGAATTACAACCAGCAATTCTTAGCTTTAAATCAAATATAACAAACTTCAAACCAGAAATCATCAACAAAATAGTCTAAACTAAGGACTAGAATTAAACTCCCCTTTGTAGCTCCTAAACTCAAGTCATTGAATTCAATCCCAAAGAGCACAACGAACTCAGCCCCTCATAGTCTTGAACCAAGCTACAACTCGTGCCAAAGATTCAGTAGCCATGAAGGATAGATGGAGGAGAAGAAAGATGAATTTGAAAGATTGAAATTGAAGTGTTGCGACGGTGGTGTATGCGTGAAGGGAACGGTGTTGGCTGTCCTTGTGTGCATGCGGCGTTATATTGTATATATCGCCTCTCCCCATGGCAATTGATGATTAGGTTAATATAATAACCTAATGCAAATTCGTGGCTTCCATCACTTGATTTTTTTTCTTTTTCTTTTTTAATTATTTTCGTTTTGTTTCAACTTTCCTTCTATGTTTATTTCCTTTTTTGAGACCTGCAAGATATAAATTGAGATACTATCATAAAGCCCAAAATCAATTATTTAAAAAGAGATAAACTATGATAAGATTTTCTTTTAAATTTCTAATTTTGTGCCACCAGTATTTAATTCAAAATATCTGCAATCAATGCAAATTATTCCACTTTAATTAATAAATATCCCCAAAAAGACATTAAATAATATATTAAAATAGGGATTTATCAGTGTGTGTCCGCCTCCCTTTAGATGATGATTATTAGTATATTAGGTTGGGGCAAATTATTTTTTTCTTTTTTATTTATTTATTTATTTTTGGAAAAATTGCAAATAAAGACCCTCCAATATACAAAATGGCTGTTAGGGACCCTGAATTTGGAAAATGGCTTCAGAGGACCTGGTCCCAAATTACAAATATGAAATAATGGTGGAATGTCCAAAATGCCCTTCTGTTTTTTTTCTCTTTCTTCCTCTCCAGATCTTCTTCCCGATGTTTCCTCCTCCTTTTCCTCTCTCTCTTCATTCTCTCTTTCCTCTCTAAATTTCCTTCCCTCTTCTCACTCCTTCTTAAAGTTTATGGAACTCACAATGTCCTTCAGTAGTCCCTTTTCATTGTCATCTTCTGTCACTTTCTTCTTATCTTGCTTAGCTATTCTTTCATCAACAATGAAGCCTCTTCCATCATTCTCTTTATTGCTGTGGAAGGAGAGGAGAGTCGAGGAGTTTGAGGGAGAGTGATAGTCATTTGCAATGCTATAATGTTTGCTTCTAATGTGTGCGATGATTCCTTGGTGCTGAGATAACACCCAACAAATCTGGATTTTTATTCTTTATTTCTGTTTTGATTTTCAGCTTGTGTTCATAATTGAAAGTAACAAGTTTGATAAGTTGTTAAAAATAACAAGTTGACAAGTTCTGATACCCACTTCATGACAAGTTTAGTAACGCGAATAACAAGTTTAGCAAGGCAAATAACAACTTCTGATAAGCAATTCATAGAAATTTGAGTTTTTGTGTTAAAATGATAGGTTCTTATTAGGTTTTCATACTTTTTCTGTTAAAATGACTAAATTTTCACATTAATTTATGAAATGACAGGCTCACAATAGAAAATGACAAGTTCCTATAAGATTTTCATACATTTCATACATTTTTTGCTGGAATTACAATTTGCATATTTGTGACAGTAACTACTTTCGATAAACACAAAATGACAATTTCACAATGAAAGATAACAAGTTAAGTATGGCAAATGACAAGTTTCTATAACGTTTTCATACATTTTCATATTTTTTCTGCTAGAATTACAATTTGCACATTTCTGATAGCACCCACTTTTGATAAACACAAAATGACAAGTTCATAATAGAAAATGACAAGTTAAGTATGGCAAATAACAAGTTTTCATACATTTTCATACTTTTTCTACTGGGATTACAATTTGCACATTGCTTATAGCAACCACTTCTGAAAAACAATAAATGACAAGTCCACAACAGCGAATGACAAGTTAAGTATGGCAAATAACAAGTTTCCATACATTTTCATACTTTTTCTACTGGGATTACAATTTGCACATTGCTTATAGCAACCACTTCTGAAAAACAATAAATGACAAGTCCACAATAGCGAATGACAAGTTAAGTATGTAAAATGACAAGTTTCCATAACATTTTCATACAATTGTAAATTTCTCTGTTGAAATAACGATGCAAATTTCTGATAGCAAACACTTCTAATAAATAGTAAATTACAAGTCCATAATAGCGAATGATAAGTTAAGTATGTAAAATAATAAGTTCCCATAACGTTTTCATATAATTGTAAATTTTTCTGCTAAAATAATAAATTTTTCTGCTGAAATAAACTGTAATTCCAGCAAAAAATGTATGAAAATATATGAAAATCTTATGGGAACTTATCATTTTCTATTTTGAACCTATCATTTCATAAATTAATGTGGAAATTCAGTCATTTTAACAAAAAAAGTATGAAAACCTAATAGGAACCTGTCATTTTAACACAGAAACTCAAATTTTTATGAATTGCTTATCAGAAGTTGTTATTTGCCTTGCTAAACTTGTTATTCGCGTTGCTGAACTTGTCATGAAGTGGGTATCAGAACTTGTCAACTTGTTATTTTCAACAACTTATCAAACTTGTTACTTTCAATTATGAACAAAAACTAAAAATCAAAATAGAAATGAAGAATAAAAACCCAGATTTGTTGGGCATTGTCTCAGCACCAAGCAATCGTCACGCACATTACAAGCAAACATTATAAGCATTGCGAATGACTGTCACTCTCCCTTAAACTCCTTGACTCTCCTCTCCTTCTAGAGTAACAGAGAGAATGATGGAAGAGGCTTCATTGTCGATGAAAGAACAGCTAAGCAAGATAAGAAGAAAGTGACAGAAGATGACAATGAAGAGAGGACTACCGAAGGATATTGTAAGTTCGATAAACTTTGAGAAGGAGTGAGAAGAGGGAAGGAAATTTGGAAAGGAAAGAGAGAACGAAGAGAGAGAGGAAAATGAGGAGGAAACGCTAGGAAGAAGATCTGGAGAGAAAGAAAGAGAAAAAAATAGAAGGGTATTTTGGATATTCCACCATTATTTCATATTTGCAATTTGGGACCGGGTCCTCTGAAGCCATTTTTCAAATTCAGGGTCCCTAACAGCCATTTTATATATTGGAGGGTCTTTATTTGCAATTTTCTCTTTATTTTTCTTTTCTTCATATTTTTTTATTTTTTATTTTTTAATTCTCTAAAAACCTGCAATCAAAATTCAAGACTAAGGTAGCATTAATTGTCCTTAAAAATCAATTAGTCACAATTAAACCAAAATATGACAATTTTGCCTCTATAAAATAATAATTCAAAGTAAAACATATTAAATGAATTAACAATCAATTAAGGTCAAAAGGACTAATTAAGTTGACAAAACCCATATAAAAGATATCAAAATATATAAAAATAATTGA